AGGCATGAGCTTTACCACTAGTCCAGGGGGAACACCAGCTAATAAGCCCTGCTCCTGCTGCAAGACATGGTCTCTTGGGAGGTGCTTGACAGCTAGAGGACGCTATCTATTTTGATGGCATGCCAGAGAAACCTGAGTTGCTATTCAAAGTGAGAATCTGCTTCATATGATAGCTGTGACTCCGCTATGATGAGCGGACACCCACGGATGAGTTCACAATCACTACTGCTATTTACATAATGCTGAGCCCATGACCAGGAGACCAAGCTCGGAGGCAGATTGGTTTGAGATGCCAGAAAAAAATATGAACAAAGGGTTAATTCCAAATAACGCCTGGCACTGAATGCAGCAGGCTTCCAGGAAGCAGGTACAAGGCGCTCAGCGCTCTCACCATGGAAGTCTGGTGCTGGGGCTGCCATGGGAGACCCTCTGTAAGAGCTGTGCTGGTGCTCCCGGACAAGGACACATCCAGCCCAGCGGAGCTTGCAGGAACTGAACAGGAAGACCCGCGTGTGCTGGGGATGAAGAGCAGCCCGCCACATGCCTGGCCAAATGGCATGTGCCTGCCCCGCAGGATAGGTTGCAGCCGTTTCTCATTGCCTCTGATCTTTGCTGCCATGCACTTGCATTTTCACAGACCTGCATTTTGCGTAGTGGCTTCTGTTCCACCCAGGAGAGCACATGCATACCAGCAGACTCTCCCGCTGCCTGAAGAAGGGTGTTTGTACTCGAAAGCTTGCAAAGAACAATTTTTCCAACTATTTAGTTGGTCTAATAAAAGCTATCACATTTACCCACAGAACCTTGTCTGTCAACTGTTTCCTCAATGAATCTGACTGGGTGTTTAGCCACTCTGCTGAGAGATCTAGCACCACCTCATCCCTGCACCACATCAGCTCCTGCTCCACTGAAGATGAAGTAAAAGCTGGATCTTGACCAGGTGGTAAAGCTGGGTAATGATGAGAGCCTCAGACACTGACTGGCTAAGCTAACAGCACGGTGGTTGTCACACGGGTTCCTGTAGGTGCAGTGGATTTAAATGCGGCTGTCGTGTGCAAGAACTCCTTCCTCCCTCACCCCCAGAGCGGCTGAGGATGTTGTGTGTAGGTTCCAGACTACAGGCGATGTCAGTGCAGATCAATGATTTCTGCAGATGTAGTGGCACGGAGAGCGAAAACCACACCTTCACCCCCACCCCACCCCCCGGTAAGGGGCTGTTGAGTGAGTTCATCTCGGGGCTCCCTTAGCACTGGAAATGCAGCCGAGTGTCGCGCCCTGGCTCTTTGAGGCTGCCTAGGTCAGGAATAACCATTGATGGGCTGCTCATTTGAGGGGGGAAATGCTGAGCTCCTCAGCAAGAGACTGGGTTGTGTTCCTCGATATTTCAAAGACGAGAACCTGGACTCTAAAGGGATGACGGCCGAGTTGAGCTGACCGAGGTGAGAGCCCTGTAAGACGTACACCGTAACGAGGGAGGGCAGTCAGGCCCGAGGACAGCGGAAGCAGTGGACAAACAAAGACCCCAAGGAAAGAGGGCTCTCGGGGTGTATGGGTTTGGTGACCTGTCTCAAGAAGCCACTCCAGGGTTTTCAGTTAAGCTCAGGATCCTGCTAGAAGGAGGTGCCACACGATGCTGCAGCGTGTGCTGAGGAAGGAGATTTTAGTCACTGAAAAAGAAGATGCTGGAGGAGCATCTGTCCCGAAACCATCTGAGATTGTCCAGGAGCCTGGCAGGTGTCTGTAAATCCAGACTTATGTTTTCCTGCCTGGCCTTTTGCAGGATGTTTCTCCCAGAGATTTGTTTCCAAAGCAGTAGCTAAAGCACAAGGCGTGGGGACTGTGCTCAGTTTGGAAAACAAAGGATGGCATCAGTTGTGGCGCTTTTTGTTTAGCGTATTTGTGGACAGTCCGTGGCAAAGCTAGAGGCAGGGAAGCCAGTCGTAGAGATGGCACCGCTGTGCAGTGTGCCACTGGAAGTCAGAGGAGGCCTTGGCACCTTCAAGCATGTGAAAGGGTTTGTGCGGAGGTAGCCTACAGCGGGATCCTGAGCAGAGGACGCTGTTCCTTGGCCACCTCGAGCTTCTCCTTGTCCGTGCAGCACTGAGGCACTGCCAGTGCCCCCTGCATCACCTGGGGCAAGTTAGGCTGTTCTTGGTGGCTTGGGGCCTTGTGTCTGAGAGTTGTGCAGAGGGGGCATTCGTGCAGTTTTCATAGGTTAGACCAGTGATTCTCAGCCAGGTGCCCTGGCACCCTGCAGTGCCTTGAGATCCTTTCAGGGGTGCTGCGGGGTGCCTCGCGATGATAGCCCTGTGAGGTGAGCAAGCATGAGTCACAGGATAAGCGCAGAGATCGCAGATAGGAGTCCGAAGCATTCAGACTTGTTCTGCATCCTCTGCAGCAGAAGAATTGTTCTGTTATTTTTCTGTGGTCCAAACATAAGTGAAAACAAAGAGCTGGCCTCTTCCAAGGGGTGCCCTCAGTCTAAAAAGGTTGAAAGCCACGGGGTTAGACAGACACTTATCTGGGGTGGTTCAGACAGGGTTACTCCTGCCTTGAGCAGGTGCCTTACATAATAGAGAAGCCTGCCTTGATCAGGGTTGGATTAGCCGAGACCGCCCGAGGGCCCTGCCGACCTAGCTGTTTCACAGTTCAGTGCCAAGTGCAATCTGCAGCACGCTTTCTGCGCATCAGGAGGTGCGAGAGCAATGTCTGAGGCGCCCGGCCCTGCCAGCCATGAAGGCTGCCAAGTACAGAGCGCTGAGGGGGCAGGATTCACACAGGGAGATCTGCAGGGAATGGGAAGCTGAAGCAGCAGTCAGCAGCCTACAGACCACGGAGCTGTTTGCTATGACCCACGATGTGGGAGTCCGGTGGCCTCTGGCAGTGGTGGCAGGAGCACCTCTCACGCTGCCGCAGGAAGAAAGGCAGTGACAGCTGGGTCCTAGCACCTGCCCACCTCTGAGCGGAGCGGGGTCACTCCAACCCACAGCTGAGGGAAGTGGCCGACTGCCGTGCTAGGCAAACACCAGAGCGACGCAGGGGCCTCAGTGCCTTGGTCTGAGATTGGGGCTGAACTGAGCAGGCAAGAACCTCTCTTTGGCAGACTGCAAGGCTCTTTGCTGTGTCGCTGCCCAGCTCCCAGCACACTAAATGCTCCCCGCAGGGTCCTGCTAATTAACAAGGAGCAGCTCCCAGGTTTGCAGTGTCTCGTTTTGGGCACACCATGGCAAGCTTTTACAGGCTGCTGGGGTGGCAGGAACATCACAGAAGAGGGCAGAGACCATAAGTAAGGAGGAACATGCCTGGTAGCTTCAAGGGAACCTTGCTTAGCAGTGCTGTTCCAGCACCGCTTGTACCCACTTGTGTCACCCGTTTGGGCTCTTTGGGCAGAGAGAGAAAGTCTGAGGGCGTTTTCCATGCAGCTTCTGGAACCAGAGAGCAGTGGTGCGGTGGCCGAGGCAGCTGGCCTGGAAGAGGTGCAGTGGCAAGAAAAGCCAAGCCTGTTTGCCATACAACGATCCCTCCTGCTCCTCTGGGCTGTGCAGAGAGAGCCTCCAGCAGTGCACCGTGGTAGCAGGTGTAGCACGCCAGCACTGCTCCCAGGACCCCTCAGGGTGGCGAGGGAGGGAAGGTGTGTAGCCAAAGGCAGGAGTACTCCAGCCCTGCTCTTGCAACCTACCCCCTCCACAACGCTCAGGCCAGGGCAGGAGGCAGCCATTTGGGGAAGGGGCCATGCACCCATCGCTACCAATGGGTTTCTGGTCCTGACCTCCGTGAGGGCACGGGTGCTCGCCTGGAGCCAGGGTTGGAGGTGTCGCTGGTTAATACTGTGCTCCACATGCGCTGAATGAAAGGGTGGCTCTGAGACCTTCCCAGCATCCTGCAGCTTCTCCTTCTGCCCTGCAACTCAGTGCTGTCTCCTGTAATCAGACCCGTGCCACATGATCGTGGTGGAAAGAGAAATGAGGGTCAGTCTCCACCCGCCCCCTGCATCTGGTCCTTTGTCCCTGCTGTTCTCCCTGCTCCCTGGGCTCTTGCAGGGTGGAGCATCCCCATTGCTGACACAAGGTCAGAGGTGACCACGTAGTGCTTTAGTGGGGGCCTCTGGGGAAGTCCCTGGTCCCAGAGCCGAGAGCGGTGTGACCGGAGCGGCCCCACTCCACTCCTTGTCCTGAAATGCAGAGGGAGGGTGGGGGCTGCCATGGCCAGCATCCTTCTCAGCCTTCTGACCGGGTCACCAAGCTTGCCAAGACCTGATGGTTGCCTGTTGCAGCCTGGTGTGGAGCAGGGAAGGGGCTGAGACCCCCCACATCAGGGAGCCTCTCCACTATGGGGCTGCAGCCCAAGCCTCTTCTGGCTGGACTTGGGGCATAAGCGCGTGGGGAGACACCTGAGCCATCAGGACTGGGACTGAAAGGCCCTTCCCCAGCCAGGGGCCAGAGCCCTCGGCAGAGAGGCACAGCTGGAAGGGCTGTGGCTGTGTGGACTTTCAAGGCCCACCTGCCCTCTGGACCCATCTGGCTGTCGGTGTCTCACTGCCTTTCTCTCCTCTCTCCCCAGTGAGATGCTTGCATGGGCCAGTGCCCAGATTCACTGCCAGTTCCATGCCAGCGAGAACCGGGTGGCGCTGCCTCCCTCGGACGACAGCAAGCATGATGTGCAGGCCGAGAACGAGACCGTCTTCGTCCCCAACAGAGGTGAGCGCAGGCCTCTGCGATGGGGAGAGGAAAGGGTACCGATTGTTGGGGGGAGATCAAATGGGGAGAAGGTGATTGCAATGGAGAGAGCCAGCCAGGCTGGTCCTGGTGCACTCAACAGGCCTACAAGGCAGTAGATGAAGAAACCCCCTTCCCACCTGGTAGGATTCCCTGGGCCAGCGTTTCTGCAGGAGCCTTTGGAAGTAGGTGATGAGACAAGGGGAGGCAGCCCTGCTGGGCCTAGAGCATGAGGTTCCAGGGCGGAGGGTCTTGCCCCCCGGTTCAGGGTCAGCCTGAGTGCTGCACTGTGGATCAGGAAGGGATTTTACCCCTGGTCAGATTGATATGGACTGGGGGTGGCAGTTGGCCTTCCTCTGCAGCAGGGAGCAAAGCCTCTTCCTTGGACTCTTGAGTGCATTTAAGCACCCCTTGCATTGGCAGGACACTGCCAGCCTCCATGGCCCTGCTTTACCTGGGGCAGATTTGAGTGCTCTTGGGGTCTTTGAGCCTCATAGTTGCGTGTTGTGTAGTTTTAGGAATAAGCTAGACAAGGACATGTCTGGGAAGTTATGAACGGTTGGATCCTGCCTCGAACAAGGTTGGACTGGCTCCGACCTCTGAAGGGCCCTGCCGGCCAGACTTTTCTATGATTCTGTGAATAACACAGGCAGCAGCGCTGGCGTTCAAGTACGAGGGCCATCAATCCTGCTGCTTTTGCCCATTCCACCCCCAGTCAAGAAGTGGAGATGAAATCCCATTCCCCAGGCCATTGGTGAGAGCTCAACACAGCTGGCTGGGGCATGGTGTGGTCTTGGCACCTTCCCCAGGGAGCTG